ACTCTGAGTCGTGTTCTGACTGTGTAGGTGTCCGTCAGGGGACGACTGGTGGTACATGGGAGAAAGGTGTGAAAAGAAAGGCTCCACTCGAGACACCATTGTCATTGCCACGTCTTCCACGGTTGCTGTGTTTGCTGTGATGCTGATAGTCACCCTCGTCAGCGTCTATTGTACCCGGAAGAGATATCGTAAAAAGATAAGTTCAAATACGGCAGCTATGGCCCTGGAAAATGTAAGTTGAGTCTGGTAGTTGGTTATTCAAAACCTATTGATGAAATAATATGAAGAATTCAGATTTTAAAAATATACTTATATAAACAGTCATCTCTTCATTCCCTATGCTGGGGACAACTGTTTGAAGACTATGAGTTCCTGTTACTTTTCACTGTAAATCAACAGTTCTTAAATTGGGGTCCATGGAGGCTTTTTAGGAGGAGTGTATTCTCCTCCTAGAATTGTATCCAGATTTGTGTGTGGTTGTGCATTTCTTTCTGTGGTGGGGGCCTGTGACCTTCTTGAAAAGCAAAACTGATTTTGCCTATAAGTTCCAACCTTGCTGGTAAAGGAGAGAGGTGACCTGTATGTGTTTTTCTTTTAAAAGTCTTTGGGTAATGGTTGAGCTCAGGCTTGTAGAAAGGGGATGCAGGCAGATTTGGGGCTTTTTCATTAAGAAAGGTTCCAACTAATTCTGGCTTCGTGTTCAGGAACTAACTCTAAGGCAAGGTTTTCAAGTAGAGAGTTTAAAATCTTGCCTCAGAAGGTCTTTGAAATGGCAATAAACTCTTGGAAATACCTAGTCTCAGATCCGATTCCTGGGAAGCCAACTTGGACACGGATATTGGCATGCAGGGGGTTTGCTGGGAGGGGCTTTCGGGAGCAGCTGTACTGGAGTGAGGGAAGCTAGACTGGGCACAGGGCGAGGTTGGACTTTGATGTGATTGCCACTGAGGCCTCAGGCCAAGCTACTGCAGTCTCTGGAGCTGGGATAGCCCCTTAAACGTGCCCCAAATGGAGTCGAGGGGATACTCACCACATCAGCAGCCACTGGATTGGGGCTGCCCTCGTGAGGAGGCAGAAAATTAAGTAAGTGCATTTTGGGAGGAGGGCGTATCCTACATGAGAGCCTTCACTTTGAAGGGCAGGACTAAGCAATGGGCCCCAACATCTACTATGTACCCCAATAATAGAGAGCACAAAGTTTCATATGCACATTCATTTCTCACTCACAGGATAGCACACAGAAAATGGCATAAAATCTGAACATCGCTAAAAAGTGAAACTTAAAAATTTTTCCAGTTCTATTTCATTGAAAATAAAGTCTCTGAAAATAACGAGTAAAACTAAAACAAAACATGTCCAATTAGAATATCTCTGAAAATAAAAATATTAACAATTAGCTAAAGCAAGAGTACACTTTCTTAAGAGAAATGATTATTCAAGACATACTGTATTTTTAAGGTTATGTTTTTTTTAAGTGGACAGAGCGGTATTTAGATGTTAAAATTGTTTGCAAAGTTAGTCAAAAGATGGACAATGATAATGAACAGAAAGCAAATGGTGTTATTCTCATACACTGCTGTCATATTTCCTCAACATCAGGAAGCTGTTTAAAGCTAATCATAAGGCAATGGATCTATTACTTCACAAGCTTGCTAGAAAAGTCCTTAAAATGTATACAGGTTGCTTTGTTTTTAAACAGCTGTGTCCAGCTTATTTTATGCCTCAAAAATAAAAGGAACAGATCTGCCAATACAAGACCCGTAGGTCAACTCAATGGAAGCTGTGTCTGCAGGTCCCCTGGGCCAGGACTGATGAATCCGAGTGTTGGCTTGGGGAAAATGGAGGAATGTTTGGGGAGGAGAGGATCAGCTATGTGGGCGAATGCAATTGCCAGGATATTCCTCTGGAAATATTATAAGAGCTGACTGAAGTAAAAATTGGAAGGAATTAAAGAAAATGATAAAACAAGAAGAGAAAGAAGTAAGTTAAGTCCATAAAGGAGGAAACTATCAAGGTACCAGGGACATGGTAGGGCCATTAAGTGGAAACACACACACACACACACACACACACCATGATCTCAAAGCAGAATGGCTTTGCCTCTGGATCATTTAAACAATCCCAAGAGCAAGGGACCAACTTACACCCTCCTTAGTCAAGGCATTCCTACAGTTGACTCACTGATAACACAATCTCCAGATCTAGTTTAGATCTGAAATCAGAAATGACCTTCCTTCTGAAGCTCAAGTGTGTGCACACCGTGATGTTTAGCATCTGAATCGCAGGAGTCCAACTGTCCAATGCATCTTCCTGGAGACAGGCCGGAGCTGCCTGCCAGGTGGGAGGGATGCCAGGAGACTGCTGATGGCATTTCATTTAAAAAATTGGACCGTTTCCTTGTAATTCATTTAAACGACAGCTTTTAAATTTAGAAATTAAGTCATCAATTGTTCTTTCCCCTTTTAGCAGCATGCATTTTGAAGATTAACTCAACAATACGACCAGCAAATGAATTGAAAAGGATTCTTCATCATGGATTTCACCTAAAATATATTCCAGTCACCTTATTCTCTTACAAGTGGATCTTCTCTGTAAATAGCTGGATATACTATAATAAATCATTATTTTGGTAAAAGTCTAATTGGTGAAATGTTTTTTGTGTTTTTTTTTTTAACAGAGGGGAAGCAATAACAAACAAACAAATAAATGGAGGGGAAGCAGTTTAGGCTCCTCCAGCAGTACGATATTATCTATAAAAGGAACAAGGCACCTAGAGGTAGCTATCCAAATTACTGACCCTTTATTTGGAGGCTAAGAGTAGTGGCTTTACAGGTGATTCCCTAAAATCCCATTGGAAACATCCAATGGCCATGATCTTGCACGTGCAACTTCACCATTTCCATGCTGTCCTGTCCCGATGGAGGGAAGGGCAGTAGGACATCTCCCTTTCCTTCTGGGGACATGTGCCCCTCCCTCCAAAACTGGTTACTTTACTGTTTTTTTACATAAATCCTTTGGAATGTGAGCTCAGTTTATAATTCGTTTGAACCTACAACTACTAAACTTCTAGAACAGTGGTTCTCAAATGTTTATGACTTGGGAACCTTCACACTCTTAAAAATTATTCAGGGACCCGAAGAGCTTGGCTTATAAGCATGACATTTATTAATAGTTATCTTATTAGAAATCCAAACCAGGAAAATTTAAAATTTGTCTTTACTAATATTTAAAAATAATAAGCCCATTCATGTTAGCATAAATAACACTTTTTAATGAAAAAAAACTATACTTCCAAACAAAAGAAAATTTAGCAAAAGGAGAGATGTTGTTTTATGCATTTTTGCAAATTTCTAATGTCTAGCTTAATATAAAATAGCCGAATTCTCATATGTATGTCTGCATTCAGTCTGTTGTGATATATTATTTTAGATGAAGGATATGAAGAAAATCTAACCTCACACAGATACGTAGTTGAAAAAGGAAGGTACATTTGAATAGCTTTTCAGGTAATTGTGGACATTCTTTTTGAATACTTTGTTAAAAGCCGACAAATGGCAATTTCTTAAAGGATGGTTGCAATTGGAATCTGAAACCAAATCAATGAACTTTTGTGCTCTGTTCAGTAAATCCATTGGTCTAGCTTATATTTTGAATGAATCTTCCAGCTACGTATAATTTTGTCATACTGTGCATTGCTTATTTATAAAATATTGGCTCACTGAGTTATGCATCTCTTACAACTCTTGGTACATTTCATTATACAGTATCAAAACATACCATTAATTAATACCATCACGGATGTCAGGAAAAAGTCTCAGTCTTAGAAACTTGACACTTGTAGTGGCATAAGCAGATTTTCCAAAATTCTGAATTTTACTTGAAAGCTTAAAATTATTATTGACCACAAGTACTGTCTATCTTGTAATGACAGCCTCACTTCATTCAATTTTTTTTAATTCAAATTTTATTTTGAGATCATTGTAGACTCACATGCAATTATAAGAAATAATACAGAGATATCCTATGTACCCTTTGCTTAGTTTCCCTCAATTGTAAGATCTTACAAAACTATTGTACTAGTACAATGTCACAGTCAAGATATTGCATTGATATAGCACATTTTCATTACCACAAAAATCCATCAGGTTGCCTTCATATAACCCCATCCATTTCCCTCTTGTTCCCACCCCTGGCAACCATTAATCTGTTCTCTATTTCTATAATTTTGCTATTTTAAAGATGTTATATTAGTGGAACCAAACGGTAGAGAAAATTTTGGGATTGCCTTTTTTTTTTTTAACTCAGCATAATTATCTGTAGATTTATCCAGGTTATTGTGTATGCAATAATTTATTCTTTTTGATTGCTGAGTAGTGTATCCATGGTATGGATACACTGCAGTTTGTTTAATCATTTACTTGTTGCAGGACATCTATTTTTCCCCCCCAGTTTTTGGCTATTACAGGTAAAGCTGCTATGAATACTCATGTACAAGTTTTTGTATAGATGTAAGTCTTCATTTCTTGTGGGCGAAGTTCAAGAATTTTCAGCATTGTTTCAAGGCAGAAAATAGGCCCCGTCAGTGGAATGTTTCAACCCTGTAGCATGAGGAGACTGGACTTGATACTCTAAAGACCTTTTTTTCATGGAATCATCATTCCATGGTTCCATGGCAGCTATTCCTGCATGGTTGTCAAGTTATGTATATTTGTGAGGTCTATAGATTGTAAGTTGGTGATGTCATTTGTATCTACTGGTTTTGGTTGACAAGGGACAATGGGTATTTCTGGAAAACAGCTAAAGTGGCACTGCCTGTGGTTATAGCATAATCACAGTTTTCACTTTATGTGGGCCACTAACATTAAAATGATGAGATTCTTGAAATTTTTAATTTTAAATGTTTCACATTATTTTAAATTTTGCATATATAAAAAAGAGACTTTATCAAGATATGTAATATTGTGCTATTTCAAATAAAATTCACATTTTGCATAGAATTTAATCATAGTCAACGTCACTCTCTAGTAGTTAAATACTCATGGAAGCACCTGAACTCTTTCATTCACTCTCTTGGGCCTATTGATACCTGGGGATGTTGATGAGTTAACCAGCTTCTTTAAATAGCAAGGAGAGGTTGAACACTATTTGATGTTAGGGCTCAAAATGACCTTAAATTTTCTGTATTTCTACAGATACTACTGCTTAAGGCCTGGAATGAATAGGGTTCCATTCAAATTATCT